CATAATTTTTTACTTTAATAAATTTAATACAGGTAGTCTCAACTTACAACAGTTCAAAGTTACAATGGCACTTGTAACATCCCCATGATCATGTGATAAAAATTCTGATGCTTGGCAACTGGTTCATACTTATGACCATTCCTGTGTCCCAAGGTCATTGTCACATTTTGCGATTTTTTGACAAGCAAAGTCAATGGGGAAGCCAGATTCATTTAACAACCAGATTATTAACCTATCCTCTGCAGTGATTCACTTTACAACTGAGGCGAGAAAGATTGTATAATTGGGCAAAACTCACTTAACAAATGTGTAACTTAACAAATGTGTAACTTAATAATTGAAATTTTGGGCTCAATTGTGGTCATAAGCTGATGTCTACTGTAATAATAAATTACTATACTATCACATTCTAATAAAAGCCAACCCAATGATTAATGATAATTTTTAAAGCAGACACTGACCAGTCCAAAATAACATAAAGAAACAGATCAAATAGAACTCTGGGACTAATTAACTCACCACTCAATTGATTCCTGAAGAATCATTTGGTTAACTCTACAAGCTGCAGCACAAAATTTGGCTACTTCAATTGTAACAGCTGAATTTGTAGCTGCCAAGATAAAATAAATAGGTCAAATCTTCCCTGTCTTTTTGTGAAAAACAGAATAGTGCAAGTGACACAAAGACCTCAGTAAAATTAATAATATAATAATACATAAACCAGGATCTTGACTTTTCCTCTACCCCAAGGACAAATCTAATTTCCTGTAATAATACAACAGTTTCAACTATAAGACCGTTGAAAATTCAGTCTACATAAAGGCTCTGTACTGCCTCAAAATGGTTAGATGAACAAATACTTAATACAATCATCTGGAGAAAAAAAACAGATATTCTCCTGCATAAATCCTCTAAGTTGATACTTTCAATTTAAAATTCTTTTCCTAATAATCTGTTTTCATTTTTTGCACCCTAAAGATAATGTGTTACACATAAGCATCCAAATGGGGCCACTTCGAGTCCTATTTATCTATACCAAGTGGATTGAAAAGCATAAATCAGAATAAGAGCTACTAAGCTCATTAGAAAGAAATTTAACTCAAAGTAGTAGTTGATGAAAAATAACTAGGCCTAACTTCAACTTAATGAAGCCTGGTTCCATTTTTAGTGCTACCTGAAGTATGCATTACAATTATATACATTTATTTAGTTCCCTTTATCACTTGCCTCAGCTCCTGCCAACCTGGCAGTTCAAAAGCATGTACAAATGGAAGCAGATAAATAGTTATTACTTTGGTGGGTAGATAATAGTGTTCTATGCTGACTTCCGATTGATGTTGCGGTGGGATCGGACCAGAGGTGGGTTCCTACCAGTTCGCACCTATTTGGTAGAACCGGTTTGTCAAATCTACCAGACTGGTTAGAAGAGGTTCCACCAGTGGACCCGGAAAGCAGGCCACACCTACAGAAGAGGTTCCAAAATTTTTTGAAACCCACCACTGGATCGGACACATGACGTGGGTCTCTGCGCTCCTGTGCCAAGTTCTCCCCACTAGTAGGCTTTGAAGAGGAGTGCCCTGTGAGGTTGCAGAGAGTCACAGGTCTCCTGTCTGTCCCATGGTTCTTTTTTCCTCTCAGCCATGGCAAGGAGAAAAGACAGCCTAAAGATGACTGCCACGAAGCTGGCACAATCAAGGAACAACTAAGAGCGAAGTAGGTGAACAATGACCAGAACTGGGGGAGGTGACTTATTTTCATTTAAAACTTACCCCCCAAGGAATAATTTAGAACTTATTTGCTCAGAATTACTTGTTAAAGCGGCGTTTAAGCATTCTGAAAAAAATATCAGACCGGAAGGAAAAGATTCAAAGAGAGAAAAACAATAAATCTTTTAAAATACAGAAAATTGTACTCTTAAATTGGGAAGACATGGTAATGGAAAGGCATTTTAAAATGCTGGAATTATTTACTTTAAAAACTTATCCTGCTTCTATAATTGAACTACAATTAAAATTACAATTGAAAGACTAAAATTAGGCTGACCAGTGGCAACACTGAAACTTAAATTGGGAGTACCACCTGCTGACGAAAGGCAAATATACAAGCCTGGGATAAATATTTACTGGGTTATATCTAACTACCCCATGACTACTGGAGACTCAAATATGAGAATAAGGAAGTTATTTAATTAAATAACTGAATATTGAATATTATGTTAGAAGATTGAATATATAAAGGGGACATAAAGAGGCTTTTGATAACCTCTGCAACTATTTTAACAGAACTGATTGATTACCTATGGGATACAAATAACTGTGATTAGTGTACTTCTTGATGGACAATCTTAGGTTTGAATAAATGGTTCTTGGACTACTGGACAAAATTGGATTTTTAAAAACAAAATAAGATGCTTCATAAGGAAGAAATAAATGGAACTTTGAAGGAGATGGTGTTGACTTTCCAAAGCATAAAGGACATTATGGAGAAAGGATTTAAGGAGATTATGGAAAAAATGGAAAATACTACACTAGGGATGATGAGTAAAGATCGAGACACTCAAAAAAGGAAGGCGCTAATAGAAGAAATGGAGGAAAATATTGAACCAACGAACCATCAAATAAAAGAAGAATACAAGGAGATAATAATAAAAATAACAATGATTGATGAATTAAACTGGGGAAATATTTTAAGAGAGTTGAAAAGAGAATTGGAGATATGGAAAGATATTTTTGAAAGGAAGATAGGGGTTTAGGCAAATATTTTGGCTAGGCAGTTGAAGAGGGTAGAGATGGGAGAAATACTTAGATTGTACAGCCAAAAAGTAGATGCAGGCAGAGATAAAGGTCCAAGAGAGGAATATGGGAAGTCAAAAAAAGCATAGCAACTAACGTACTGAAGTGAGCAAGAGATGGATAGAAAGGAAAGTGTTGTTGTTCTGATTTGCTTTTTTTCCCTTCTCTTTCTTTCCCTTCTTTTTTTAGAATGGTGGCATGATTAGAAGTTAGGTAGGATAGAAAGAAAACATCTTTAAATAAAAGGGTCACATGATTAAAAGTTAGAGTAGAGATAGAACTAAGAGAAATGGGGAATATTAGTGGACATTTTTTACATAATAAAAACTATGGGTAACTTGAAATGGCTGAGTAAATACAAACTTACTTTTCAAGTAGACAGCTATCTGAAGTTACATCTTAGGGAGATATTTATGCGAGCAAGATTCGAACAGCTTGACACAATGGCCAAATATGGGAGATTCCATTCTATACCCTATAATGAGTGTCTCTGCATTTGTGAAGTGGCAGAGGTAGAAGACCTGGCTCAGACCTATTTGATTGTTGCTTGTATAAGGGGATGTGAGACAGGTATATTGGTCTATATACCAAACAAATGACCCATTGGGATCCTCATCTCAAAACAATTTACCTCAAGTGGGGCCAGAACTGGAAAGTAACATTTAACACAGCACAGTACTTAAACAAAATGGTTCGGTTGAGATCTGCATACCTTGTTTCCTTGAAAATAAGACCTCCCCAGATAATAAACTCAATTGGGCTTTTGAGTACATACACTAAAATAAGACCTCCCTGAAAATATTACAACACAGCAGCAGCCATGAAGTGATCATGCTCACCGCCTCCTGTGCCTCAAAAATAATAAGACCTTTCCAAAAATAAGACAAAGCACTTATTTTAGGGGTCAAAAGAAAATAAGACGCTGTGTTATTTTCAGGGAAACATGGTATGTGGGACTGAATGGGGTACATTGCAGAGTGATACCTAAATATAATTTTATATTTTATCTATATCTTAAATTATTGTATTCTATTCCAATTTCATTTCAGACTGTATTTTATTCCAATTCCATCTGAAATCATATTTTATTCCAATTCCATTTTAAGTTGTATGTTATCAAATTTCATTTTAAATTGATTTTATCAAATTTTAGTAATAATTTGTTTCTGGAACTTTGATATGGCCCAAAGGCTAATCAATAAAGACTCAGTGTCAATGTCAACGTTATAAACTAAAAGTAATAACAAGAGGGAAGCTTACAAATTGAATGCTGGTATTGGAATAAAATATGATTTCAGATGGAATTGGAATAAAATATGATTTCAGATGGAATTGGAATAAAATACAGTCTGAAATGAAATTGGAATAGAATACAAT